GGCCCTGGCTGAATTAAGATTTTGTCATCTGGGTTGGCATCTCATGAAACCAGGTGGCTATCATGAGATCCCACTACATAAGATACTGTACTTTGCTGTAGGTACAGGGCTAACAACACATTAAAAGAACAAGAATGCATTAAAGATCAATGTAATGGTCATAGTGCAAGACCCTTGCACTATGACCATTACATTGGTGACCACCCCATTTTCATTTATTTATTCATTGGATATTATGATTTCCTTAGAAGCAAACTATTCACAACTCAGTGCTGAGTTATGTATAAGGTTTCTTTGCATACCTGTTGCAGACAGTTGTCACATGTAGTGGCTCGAGTAGCAATACACAATTTGCGGTCAAAGTTCTCCCCAAAGTAATTGAGCTGCTGGGCTCGACGGCAGTCAGTCTTGTTCTCACAAAAAGCAACCATGCGCCAAAGATTCTCATTGTGAGTCTTTTTTGCTGCATGATTGTCTCTGTCACCTAAAGATAAATTGATAAAGCAAACTGATGCTAAGGAAAAATTATTGTAATACTATTTAGAGTTTGAAAATTTAAAGGTGAATTTATTTTGATAAGAACAATTTACTCAAGAGAAGCTCACTTTCTATCATCCTGCGAATACGTATCACGTCACTGTATGCATAGTACAGGATACATTCAGCTGGATCTCCATCCCTTCCTGCCCGTCCTGATTCCTGGTAATAGCCTTCTATTGACTTTGGAAGGGAGTAATGGATCACATAACGGACATCTGGTTTATCAATACCCATACCAAATGCTATTGTAGCACATACCACCTTTGAGAAAAAATATTAAAAGAACATTATATACCACCTACATTGTGTAATTTATTACAGAGTTTTCAATAATTTGAACCAAGAAGAAATACAAGGAGCATGAAAGTAAACCCTAATGTAGTATAAATGCAACAGAACAAGTACAACCTATAATGAAAGCTTCAATATAGTGAACAAAATCAGTACTATAAATTTCTTAATGTTACACACATGGCATATAAAATGTGAGCTTTCTCTGGCACCTACATAATGAGGGACTGATTCCTAACTAGCTGCCACTTTTATTCTATAACTTTTTCACAAAATGTATTCAAAGTTTTGCTTCATAAATCCCTTATAGCCTACAATCCATAAACACTCTTAACCCATCCTCTGTGCCTGAATAGTTCAGATGGAGGTATGCATACCAGAATTTAAATGTAATTACCTCACCCCCTCCAAATTTTAAACAACAAGAAGCACTCTGCTATGATGCAGAAACCAATTTTTATTTTCTCTCACCCAGCTACACCCTTTCTCTCATATGACACGTTGGCAACTGGACCTACCACTCCTCAACACTACACCAACAACTTACAAACAATGCAACAGAAGTGATATTTTTGCTTCTTCCAAAGTAGTCTGGCAGAATGGCAACATAACAACAGCAAACAATAACTGCTGAAATTTCAGATTATGTCAATGTCACATCACAAAATGAGGAAACATAACTCTCATCTCAAAATGCAATGCAATGTTCAAATGAACCACCCCACGACATACATACTGCTTGGTTCAAATTCTTCCATGTTGTGGTCTCTCACTCAGACGGAGAAACATAGATTGCAGGTGTTTGAGAATAGGGTGTTGAGGAGGATATTTGGGCCTAGGAGAGAAGATGATGGGGCATGGAGAAAACTGCATAATGATGAGCTTAAAAATCTGTACTTCTCCCCCAGTATTGTCAGGGTGATTAAGTCGAGAAGAATGAGATGGGCGGGACATGTAGCGCACATGGATGGGACAAGAGGTGTGCACCGGGTATTGATTGGGAAGCCTGAGGGGAAGAGACACCTAGACATAGATGGGAGGATAATGTCAGGCGGGATCTATGGGAGATAGTAGTTGAAGGGGACTGGATTTTGTTGGCCCAGGACAGGGTCTGGTGGAGGGCTTCGGTTAATTCGGTGATGAACCTTCGGGTTCGGTAAGCCATCTAGTTAGTTATGTCTGTCAAATAATTTAATGGGCAGAATGTGAGTGTAAAACAAATACTGGGTAGGTCTTCTGCTTGTAATGAAATAATTCTAATAGTCAATTGCAAGTACAAGAGGTTGTCATCTAAATATGAGAAACACTAATACACAATAAATACTGCCTTTATAGCATTATTAATGTCATAGTGTGATACAAATAATCTGAAGTTAGGAGACAGACTTGAAGATTACATATTTCAACTGTCAGATATTATAAATATCTGTAACAAGCATTTTGTCAGACTTCCTCTCATTATATTTAGATTGTAGTATACTGTACAAAATTACATCACCATATTATATTTTTCTTATCAGTCATGTAACAGTATGATAATTTACCTTTGAAACTAACCTTGATTTTGTCAGAGATCCATTCCCCTTGAACCCTACTTCTCTGTGGATCAGTGAGACCTGCATGATAAGCTAAAGCCTTTATACCAGCACTGGATAAATCAGAAGCCACAGTGTCACATTCTTTCCGTGACAAGCAATACACAATACCTGACTGACGAGGAAATTTGGCTTTGATCAGTGTTACAATATCTTTTGTGACACTCTTGCCTTTCTTAGGCAAAACTGAATATTTCAAATTTGGACGATTGAAACTTGAGAGGAACCTGAAAGAAAAATATATTTGAGAACACTTTCACAATTATTTTAGGAGAAACTATTCCCAGTATGTTCACCATTTAAGTTAGCATACGGCTGCCATGTAAGATTTAATGACAGAAACAGAACTATATACAAGGAAAAATTACATAACCAAAATATTCATACCCACAGGACTCCATACATCCACTCTCCATAGGTTAAACTGAAGGAAACTGGTAGTGAATAAATCCTTGCTCTTGGTCTAAATAGAGTAGCAAGTGGATTTTGTTAAATGGCTAATAAATTAAGTAGTATTTCTGGAGCTATGTACATAAAATAAGCAAAATTGTAATAAAAGCCCTACAGCTTTTACAAAAGTAGAATCAGGACAAAAATATTTATATATAGATCAAAATGATTCAGTAAGACTGTTTGCCTTAATTAGAGAGTTGAGTATTCTGACCAAAGTTTTCTACAAGAACTTTCATTAGTTTCTAAAGTAAATGATTGGAGTTAAACTTTAAATATACCTCATTATACCTTAAACAAAATCCAAACATGACACACCATGAAGGGTAGTTTCAGTTGTTTTGTTCATACCTTTAAGATAATGTACCAGTCTGTTTATGCCTATTCATTTTAGAACCCAAAATTCACAAATACAACACTGAATCTAACAGATGACCTGAAAGGGCTAAGATCTGCAAGTTACATCCTGTCACTGAATGATAATTACTTTTCAATTCTGAGTTTATTTTTATCTTCATATTACAGAAGTAGCAGACCCAGGCAGTCATGGGTTGCTTTCAATCAAGTGACAATGGTAGCAGGTACTTCTTACAAAAAAAATGTCTCCACAGAATATAATACAGCTGTAACTTACCATTTAGGGCTCTTCATTCCTAACTGGTTAAGAATGTCAACGCGAACCCGAGGTGTAGCAGTTGCTGTTAAAGCAATTGTTTTAACAGTAGGAAATCGTTGCCTCAACAAGTTCAATTTCTTGTAATCTGGCCTGGTCAACATAAATGGTTTCACAAAGAGTATTACTACACATAAAGAAAATAATTTACAATTGCTAGGTATGTCTTTGAAGCAGTTAATATGCTAGTTATTATGAATAATAACGGGTGATTATACACAATCACATGCAAAATTGGTAAAAATGACAAATCTGCACAAACTTGATGTTGCTTATCAAGTGTATTATTTTTAATATTATACAAGACGTGTTGGTATATGTAACAAATAATTAACAAGTGATATTGCACAATAAAACAAACTGTTCATTTTCTACAACTAAAATATAGTTTTAATAACATTACAAAGAATTAGATAAAAATATTGACAGACAACAAAAGAACATTATAATTATTATAAAACAACACTTCCAAGTTGAACTTACTACAGCAACAAAAACTTTGACAAAACCAATACAGGACAAAACACTCGTGCTAGATAAAATCTGACTAAACAGAACACACAAACCACTGCATCAGCTACAAATGTGACCTTGACAGTATTACACAAAGAATGATGACATTTCAGGATGATACTGTTTATTTATTACACATATCAGCAGCTGCTCCGCATTACATACAATAATTGGCAGAAGTGAGAAATGTAAAAAAATCCTTTATATTTCTAGGAATTTAAAAGGTTATAAGGTTTAACCAACTAACATCATGCAGCAATGTCCTTGTTGAGAAGCGAAGAGCCACCCCGCTAATCAAAAAGTTTCCCAACTTTTATGGGACCTGAAGATTTACCATTCTTCTCAGCCAGATGAATCCAGTCCACATCATCATATCCATATTTCTTTGATTCATTTCAGTATCATCCTCCAATCTATGCCAAGGTCTCCCAAATGGTCTGTATTCTATTCTGAATAAAATTTTGTATGCAGTTCTCACTTCTCAAATGCTGTGTCTATTGAATCCTCATTTATATCATACTAATATATAATGTAGAATAGAAATTATACAGCTTCTCATATTTTCTCAAGCAAATGGTTTGTTCCTTCCTCTGACATCCAAATATTACTTCTCCACAAACATAAATTTCAAGTTATTACTTCTTGGTCATTATCTCCAAGCCATTATGCAACAAAAATACTCAACATATTGTGTAACATTAAGACTACTAGAAACTATAACATGTCTGAAACATCTTCCAGTCCTAGAAATACAGTGAAACCTCTATCCATCGTTCCCGGAACTATCGTTTTCCCGGATGCATCGTCCGTTTTGTTCGGTCCCGAATACATCCCATATAAAATAAT